TTTTGGAAACCAACATTTATTCAAGCAGACTTAACAAATCTATCAACCGAACTAGTTGTCAATGACCTCAGTAGATGACAATTCAAGCGGCGAAGGGGATCAAGCAAATAAATGGGAATTTTTATCATTGCAGTAAGATGCGGTTATGAGGTTAAAAGTAATTAAAGGCTCAGTTTATAATATTAAAAATGAGTTTGTATCCCTTAATTCATTTCGTACAGTTATGAATTCACGAGAAAAAGAGCTGATTTGATGGCACTGTCGCCAACTGATTTTGAAGAATCAGACAATGGAATTAAAAGAATGAATTCGACCCAGGATTGATAGATAAAGTGAAATTTAGCCTCGATAATTGAAGAATAAAAAATCAGCAATATAAATCGGAGAGTATGGCAGCGTATTTTGCCAAAGGCATAACAGATAAAAAAGATAACTTGTTTATTTAGTATAATCAATAATAAACTTTATTTTTAGATCTAAAAGATAGATACAGTCGTTTCTGGGTTTGCCAAGCATCACTTGATTTAAAAATGAATTGCCATGTGAAAAGAAGGTAGAATAAAATTCAACTTAACCAGGTTAAAGACGAAAAGTGATAAAACGTGAAACATACTCATGGGTGGTAAGATGCAAAAAAATTATCAGAGCATGAGAGCAAAATTCTCAATTGTAGGATAGAGCTTTGCAGAAGTGCACGAATAAGTGATGAGTTTTCGCGAGATTCATGGAATAAATAGGCTACCCAGAATACAGTTAAAGAGATAGAGTATCGTGACTCAAGAATAGATAAGGTAGAAACTAAGAGGACCATGCGATAAAGGGCTCAATGAGCAAAAGCCGGAGTATCGAGGATTGGAGTATCCTAGTGAAAGACGTTGCCCAGGCCCAAATACACTGAGTTGCAGCTGCTATTTAGACTTGGGATAAATATATATATGCATGTGCATATATATTTGCATATGAATGCGCGAGCGTGCGTGTGCTTAAGATGTGCTTCCTGAAGTCCATTTGAAGAGCTAATAAGCCAAAGGACTGTGATAAAGTGGCACACATGCAAATGAAAAAAATAACGAACGCTTTTTGGAAGGCATGTATAGAAGCGTCAAAGAGACCGCGCAATGAATGCCTTTTGAGTGTGATCAGGTAAGAATATTGATAAAAATAAAATCTGGAATGAATGCTTAAGCGAGGAGGCTTGAAAGAGCAGCTGGCTTCACATGAAATGGGTCAGCGGCAGATGAATAGTATTTTGTAGAATTGGTTACGATTTGCAGGCAAGTTTGCGACATTAAAGGGGATTTTAGAAACGTTTCAACTCGGAACAAGGTCTACCAAAGTAGACTCTGAGCATGATCACAATGAATTTGAGGTAAGGGTAAAGGAGCGGGGCAGAGATGATGCTGGGCTTTAGATCAGTGATATCTGACGGCTGGGGAATTGTGTAGCAGTTATAAAAATACAAAAGCAGAGGAGCAAAAAATAAACCCAGCGCAGAAGGCTGAAGAAAAAGGGGAAGCAGCCAACTGCCAGCGTGATAAAAGCAAGATCCAATTGTGGATGTGGGCCAGGTTGCTGGAGGCAAGAGGTAGTCAGACTGGAAACAGTTCTGGTTACCAGGTTAAGTGGTAGAAAGTATGAGGTGGTTCTATAGCTCTCAACAGCCCCAGTGGCGACTTCGAGACAAAGAGTCTAAGTTATGCTCCGGGGGCAAGTGAGGAGCGTCTGCTGGAGGAGAGCCGGCCTCTGGACGAAGTGAGAAGAGGCCAAAATGGAAGTTCCGCCATTTCTTTATCGGGAGACCTGGGCATGGGTAAAATGTGTGCATGTGGGAGTGCGTGCATGTCCGTGCCTGTGTGCGCGTACCGATGCGAGGTACATGAAGCGTCAGTAGATGGCTGGAACGGGCTCAACAGGGCCGAACAGGTAAGGTGTGTTCTGGATCAGTATTTCCACGATTCGCGCGTGTATATGAACGCTGTCGTGAAGTTGCTTGGTTCCACCCTCAGGCCACATCAAAGTGGGGCCTAAGATAAGCCCGAGGTTGGAGGTCAGCATCTGATTTTCAGTGTGCAACTCGCCCACCCTGTGAAAAATATACATACACGTAGAGGCCCAGTTATGTTATGTCATGATAAAAATAAAAGCAAAATGTATTGAAAGCCTTACAAAGATGGTGGATTTGCTAGAAAGTGTGCAACGAATGGATTCGTTGATATGCCTTAAAAGATTTTGACCTTTGATTATTCCGGAGAATGAATGCGGCCATGTGCATGGTAAAAGAAAATTCGACAGGGAGTTGCTAAGGCAAATGGAGACGAGTTCAATAAAAAATTCGTCCAAGAGGCTAGTTGCCTTCGAATTAGTAAAGTATTATATACATATCCGCAAAGCCTATATTTATAAAATACCTTTTAAATATTCAAATTTATGCTGTACAAGTAGTAAAAAAATTCCAATTGATCGGGAACTTCCGAAATTCTAGTCTATTTAGCGAAAAACGGTCTGAAACTAAGGGTTTGAATAAAAGTCATTCGTTGTCTCTAAGAAGCAGGATAAAGAGCGAATTGGGCAAAATGTATGATGGCCTATAGAGCATAATATTTCCAAATTCCAAGCGTGATGGAAAAGACCCTCCTCCATAACACAGTAAGAGCTTTATTCAGATATATCCAGGCAAGCAAGAAATATTTGAGAGCATATAGTTCAAATTAATATGAAAATTATCAAAAATGAGGATGTAGAATAGTCGTTGCCATAACGAGCATAACTATTCCTATCAAGTTAAGATACATGGTCAGTCACAAAAATTGTATTAAACACTTATCTCTCATCGATAGATAGAGGGCATCCTCATGAGCCCGGATTAATATAAT